CTGACCCTTCTCACCCTGGACACAGTCTGTTTGACCTGCTCCCCTCAGGCAGGAGGCTCCGGTCCATTCGCACCAGAACCTCTCGCCATAAGAACAGTTTCTTCCCCTCTGCTGTTGGACACATGAACAATAACCGTATGACTGTTCCCACCACTAACACATGACCCTACGCTGTGTTCACTGCATCATTCCATGTTTGGCACTGATCACCACCTGCACTCATGTATATATCATGTATATATCTATCTACTTAGCACTTTTAATTCTTATTCTTATTTTTATTTTCATGTCTATTTTAGCGTAATTTATGACAGTATGTTTGCACTGAAGCACCGCAGCAATTTCCTAATGTTGTAAACCTGCTCAACATTTGGCAATAAAACCCTTTCTGATTCTGATTCTGAAATGATTTCATTAGAAGGATGGCTGTCAAGTAGCCATTCTTCAGTAAGGGATACAGGGAAAAGGGATGAGCTATGTCACATTATACAAGAACTGGATTGAAACTCGGTGGCAACAGGTCTGATTGAGTGATGAATCCAAATCTGAAACTTTTGGTTCAAATCAGTATGTACAGAGGAGGTCAGAGAGAGAGGTTCAACAGTGAGTGTCTACAGCCATCTCTAAAACTATGGAGGCTCTTCTACGGTTTAGAGGTGTATTTCAGCCCGTGTTTCTTATCTTTGACAAAACTGATGGAGTTATGAATGCAGAAAAGTACCTTCAGATTTTGATCCACAATGCAATAACATCTGGAAAGCAGCTGACTGGCAACAACTTAATTTTTCAACATGACAATGATCCAAAACACTTTTTGCACATTTCAATAAATCACTGCATGTTTTTGACATGGTGGTTTGCGCAGTTATTTGACGGGAGCAGGGGCAGACCTACTGTGGTGGCATGGGGTGGAAGTTACCACCATAAAATAATCTCTTGCAATAACAATGTTGTTTATTAAAATAAAATAGCATTACCACTTTGAGCCTAGCTACAATGAACATTGAATATACATTATAAAACTGAATATATGGCATAGTGTTATCCCCTCCCCACCAATTAAAAATGAACGTAAGAATGAAGGTGAGTTTTATTAACCCTCTCAGGTCGATGGATGTGCAGGCGTGTCCAAATCACATGACTGATTAAAGATGACAGAGCAACAAGACGCAGCCACGCTGAGTCTCCATTTCAACTTGTGTTGAAATTGAATGGACTTCAAACTATATGTGTTGATAGGCCACAGAAAACCAGGGTCATCACATGTGATGCTTTTTTCTGAATACTACATTTAGTGCAGGAGGAAATGGTAAAAACTGTGATTTCTAAGAACACCGCTTGCAAGCATTATCTGTTTGCAAGCAAAACACAAAAAACAAGACAAAAATGCAACCCCTTTCCTGTTGTGCATCAATGCACCAATGTACCATGTTGACCAATCAGCATTCGGTTGATTAGGAACAGGGAACAGGTTTTGGGACTAACAGTGGCAAGAGAGAGTGAGTGAGAGAGAGACAGTAATATCCATAGCGAGCTTTGAGATGTGAGAGATTTGTGACATTTGGCATGTTTGGTGTGTAGTTTTGCTTTGTGTGTAAAACAATGAGGGCACTAGTGAATGCGACAGAGGCCACCAAAGGTAGACTGCAACGTGTCTCCAGCTGGATGTGCTCCTCTGTCTTGTGCTGGAAACAAAGCATTTTTTGGAGTAGCACAAATAATTTGTCACATCTTATTGTGATACCCTATTGTTCTTTAATTTTAGTTTTAGTAGTGGTTTTAAACTTTTGTACAAAAATGGCTCAGCCATTGGCTGCATTTTGGGGTATTTTTTTTGCAAACTTTACTGTCTGCAAAAACCCCCAAAATGTTTTCCTACTTGGATTCTATGGGGTTTTTGTGTCATTTTAAATCAGTTGTGTTAATACAGTATGTTAAAATGAAAAAATAACTTTACATTTATTTAGACATGCGAGATTGTGCCGAAAAGCATGATACCAAACAAGGCAAGATAAACAGTTGAAATATAGAGGTAAAATCACAAATAATAAAAAACGACTAATTATACCCTGGACCCCAGAGGGTTAACCCAGTAAATTTTTGGTAAAAGAAAAAACAAACAAACAAGTCTTCATGGCAGTGGGGATTTCTGACATCTTGTATAAATTAAAGCATATAAGATTTTGATTATTTAATAAAAAGAGTGTGAAAAGTTAAACTTGTATTTCTAACTGATCCACCTCATTTTGTGTAGCTTCTGGATTTTATACTTATGCTTAGTTATTATATATGCTATACAGTGCATAAAATCAAAATAAAAATTTTTATGTAACTGAAATATGGGCTAAAGAAAGTCACAGACTATGTTTATATGAAATGTGCATACTTATAGCATTTGACGTATTATAACCATAAATAACACATACAGAATGTAACACCTGCACACAGGGGCGTTCGTGGCCTGTTTGGTGCCCTGGGCGAGCACTCCCTCAGCAAGAGTATGCAAATGGTCAACAAACAGCCATTATAATTCATCATACACTGACAATAGCAGACAAATCAACAATACACCTCTCCCAATTAATGGCTAATTAATATTATGCTAAACACAGTCCAAAACATTCAATAAGCAGTGTTGGGTAAGTTACTTTAAATTAGTAACTTAGTTACATTACTAGTTACTTCTATCAAAAGTAACTCAGTTACTTCAAGTTACTCGTTACTTTCAGAGTAACTAGTTACTAGGGAAAGTAACTTTGGTTTTACTCAGAATTCTCTTGTTAATGTGTTGCTTCCGTAACTGGATACCCAGCAAGATTGCCAGTCTTCTAGCTTGCTTACTTGCCACAAGTGCACTGTGCCACCTACCAATAGAAAGGAAAAAATAATGTGCACATTTCCATGAGAGAAATCCCACGCCTGGACCGTCGTTGACCGCCGCATGATTCTAGCCTGCTTTTTACATCCAACACAAAAACTGCAGTCGTGGTGCTTTCGATTGTACTCAGAACTCGGAAATTCTGCCTTCTGAATAGGAAGATGTAGGTAACACCAGACTGCAGATGAGCTGCATACAGGGCTGGACTGGGACAAAAAAAAATCGTCCCGGGGAATATTATAGGAAAAATCATAAAGCCTTTGAATGAAAACAAACGCTGTTGTGACAGTGATGTTCACTGTTCTGATGGTATATATGTATCAATCTATCAATTGTTTGTTGTAAGACTCAGATAATTATTTTTTTAAAAGTGAGACATTTTAAATGAGAATAAGAAAGTATTTCCTTGTGCCCCCCTTTCCCTTTTAATGCCCTACATGGACCCCTGGCAACACTTTGCTAGACCCGCCCCTGCACAGTTACCAGCTGTCAGCTACTTAGAAAAGGATCCTGGTGTTATTTGTCTCTCAGAAACAGTTCATAACTTCCCTTCAACTCATTCATGTCACCTAAAAGGTAAACCTGTTTCTCCATCACAGCTCTGATGATTCAGTAAGGACATCTCCTGGTTTCATCTTCATGTTTCCCTCTCACCAGATAACCAAACCATATCATGACCAGCAGCTTTACAGCTGTGGCTCCAGCAAACATCAGCTGATACTAGAAATTAATATTAAATAAATTCTAACAACAGCTGATCAAGCTTAAACGTGCTGCTGTTGTTTAGCGCGACATCCGCTGGTTTCCTCTTTCTGGCGCAAAGTGGGCGATAAACAAACAAGAGAGCCGATCAGCTGATCATTGATCAGTTTCATGATTGAAGTAGAAACAGGAGAGGGAGGGGAGAGAATGAGAGAAGAAGAGGCAGCTGTGCAGCAAAGACACAGAATAACTCCAGCTTTGTGTCTTTTTCATTGTAGCTGAAGTCCGGGACAAACTGTTCCTTTTCACCTCAATAAGAAACGCGTAATATTTTCTCTGAATACGAGACGATTCCGTTTTTTAAGGAACGGTTGGCAGCTCTAATAATTAACCTTATGAACAAAATAAAGTTCAACATCAGTAACATAGCACCCACCCAGCTGTATAGAAACTCCATCATGCTAGCTAGCACGCAGTACGAAAATAAACTCCACCTAAACTTGGTTTATATGTGACTCAGATGGACTGCAGGTCATAACTTCTTACCTGAAGTTCAGTTCACCTGACACTCTCGGACCAGCGGCCACTTCGGGTCTCTCCTCTTGCGTCCCTTTTCCTTCATCCACCTGCTGGCCTCCCCCACTTGCTAATGTTACTGAATCTGTGGAAGCTCCGCGATAGCCACCACACGAAGTAACGAGTAACGAGCCTATCTAAATCCCAGTAACGAGTAACGCGTTCCTGGTTTTGGCATAATAACTAGTTACCGTGCTCGTTACCACAATAATAACGTAGTTACTGTAACGCGTTACTTAATAACGCGTTAGTCCCAACACTGTCAATAAGCCACATCAGTGTCATCTGTCTGTCTACTGTTTACTATCATAGCCAAGTGGCTAACAAAGGTAGCTAACAAAGTTTTCCCAATCCCTACTAATGAATGTTATCTTGTTTCAGGATACATAATACCTGCCTTTATCCAAAGACACATCTGCTTACCTGTATCTTTTGCTCATTTCTCCTCTTCTTTACTCTATTTTTTTTATAAACCAAGGACCTGATGGCTTTGACCTTTTCTTGTCCATCTTGCATCTCCAGTATTAACACCCAACCCCACAACAGAAACTAATAGACCTACACCTTGTATAGGTTTTTTTTCTGGGATTTCACACAACCCAGGAAACCCAGCCTTTACTCCGATTGGTTCCCATGCAATCCCCAAAATGCGCTGGCATGATGTCGGGGCAGCATGGGTGCAAGCAACTTTTTTTTGCCGATGCTATGATGCCACCCCCGCCACGATGCCGCCCCGGGCAACCACCCATGTCGCCCATATCAAAAACCACCACTGCCTGCACATGTGTAAAGAAATGGCTGTGATTTTGCCACCCCGTTTGATTTCCATGCCACCCTAAGAAAATTTCTTATCCGCCCCTGGATAGGAGCACACCCGCGTGCGAGCACACGCACATGCACGCGCTAGCTGCGAATACACCAGAGCTCTCCAGTCAGTACGACGTAGCGTAGCAGAAACACCGAAACGTAACGAAATAGCGAGATATTTTCCCGAGGAATTTTACAGCTGCTCGGCTCGCTAGCTGACGGCAAAGCAGGCATGGACGACAAGTCATTCACCAAGGAGCTGGACGGATGGATCGAACAACTGAACGAGTGCAAGCAGCTGACAGAGAATCAGGTCAAAGTCCTCTGCGAAAAGGTGAGGTTTACCAGGCGACTTAATATTAGTACCCCACATTATTAGCTTTCCGCAGTGCTAGCCGACGCTTAGCCCGTACAGCCCCCCCGAATGGCTCCTTTAATAGAAATATTGCCTGGACTCAGACGTTATTGCATGTGGCCTTACAGGAGCACACCATTTGACTGTAGCTGCATGCTGTGGATTTCTAAGACAAGCCGAGAAGATGGAGGGGGGATGCCTGCGAATGTTTTCCTTACGCCCACTGCTTGTCCTAAAGTGCACTTACAGAAGCACACAAGAAAACTCTTTAATAATCAGATTTTTTTTAAAAGCAGGAATATTGGAATCTGGCTTATTAATAACTTGTGTACTCCACAGGCTCCCAAACTGCACCACATTCTGGTACATGCTAACCTGTTTTCTTGGTTCTCATGCGTAGGCCAAGGAGATCTTGACAAAAGAGTCCAATGTGCAGGAGGTGAGATGCCCAGTGACAGTGTGTGGAGATGTCCACGGACAGTTTCACGACCTGATGGAGCTGTTTAAGATTGGAGGGAAATCTCCGGACACTAATTACCTCTTCATGGGAGATTATGTTGACAGAGGCTACTATTCTGTGGAGACTGTTACACTTCTGGTTTCTCTTAAGGTATTTCAAAAAAAAGTAATCTTAACATCGATATGGACTTAAATTTTTTAATGAAGTAAAACTGTGCAGAACTGTAAATTTTGGTATTGATGCAATTCCAAGTAAACAAAGAGCCAGTATTACTGATACGTTTAGTGTATAAAGGCATCTTATTGAGGGGAGAGCAGTGTGTCATGATTTTTGAGATGAATGTTTATAAATTTACTGACCTTAGAGGATAGAAGCAAAGTATCCATCCTGTTGTGCTAGTTTCGATCTGATACCCGTATCAATATTTGGATTGATGCACCAAACTTCTATTACAAATGTGTTTTTCTTCGTAGGTAAGGTTCCGCGAACGGATCACAATTCTCAGAGGGAACCACGAGAGCAGACAGATCACGCAGGTGTACGGTTTTTACGACGAGTGCTTGAGGAAATATGGAAATGCCAACGTTTGGAAGTACTTTACAGATCTGTTTGATTATCTTCCCCTTACCGCGCTGGTAGATAACCAGGTAATGTTGTGTTTTCAGACCCAACCTGAAGGACAGGTGCACTGAGCTGTTATGTGTTGTTTATTTCATATTTCTTATTTGAAAGATATTCTGCCTACATGGAGGATTATCCCCATCAATAGATACACTGGAACACATCAGAGCGCTGGATCGCCTGCAGGAGGTTCCTCATGAGGTAAACACAGATTACGTAAATGCTTTTTAGAGATGTTTAGAGATTAATTTAGGAAATATCCCAGCTGACTGCTTTAGTGTAAGCATACGCATTCAAGAAAGTTCACCATGGAGTTTGTAGGTAATCACTGTATGCTAACTCTGTTCTTTTTACTGAATAGAAATTGCACTAAACAACACTGGCGTTCCCTTCACCTTTCAGGGTCCAATGTGTGACTTGTTATGGTCAGATCCTGATGACCGCGGTGGCTGGGGCATATCACCACGCGGTGCTGGCTACACTTTCGGGCAGGACATTTCTGAGACATTCAACCACGCAAACGGTCTCACTTTGGTTTCAAGAGCCCACCAGCTGGTTATGGAGGTACTCTGACTTTGTTTGTGTACTACAAGTAATTCTGTTTTTTTCTTCGTCAGATGTACCCTTCACAGTCAGTGGCTATAAAATAGCTAACATGAAGCTGATGTCTTGATTTAGGGTTATAACTGGTGCCACGACCGCAATGTAGTGACGATCTTCAGTGCACCAAACTATTGCTATCGTTGTGGAAACCAGGCAGCAATCATGGAGCTTGATGACACGTTGAAATACTCCTTGTAAGTAAATTTTGTCATGTCTAATAATGCAAACATATCTTTTTGCAATGAGGGGGGGATGCTACATACAAAGTTCAACAAAGTCTTTCATTACTTTAGCTGGCTCAGCAACACCTGGTTATCAACTTTCGCTGTTAAGTCACCCCTTATGTCATATGACTCTTCTTCCTCACAAAATGATCCCCGTGAGTGCTACCTACTTCAGTCATCGATGCTATCAGATGATAATGATAAAGTGGTGATGACTAGTCTATAATGAACATAATCTAGCAATTTAGTGCACAGAGCAGTAAAATAAACATTTTAATTCAAGTTAATAATTTTATGGCTGAGTGCAGTCTCAGTGCTGCTGTCTGTTCATTTCTAAGGTGATGGGTGCACATTAGAGCTCTAACACTTTAAACTGGATCCATTTAAGCATTAAAGGTTACTGTCTCATAGCCTAATGAAGGAGACGGGGAAATCTCTTTAGTTTGTTGGCAGATCAAATTAATGAAATTAATGTTATTCATTGAACGAATATTCCTGGTGTGCATTCTGGATTCAGCATAAATAATTACATGTACATTACTGTGGTAATGCATCGGGAATGTTTGCACTTCATTCAGTGGTTTTAGTTTAACAGCAGTTTAACAATCTATAATAAACTTACTGTAAATAAAAGAGTCAGGGAAAATGTGCCACTTTCAGCCGATAGAACATAACTTGCTCTCGACCAGGCTGAGCATTCAGCATAGGTTACCATGGTGATTTAGCCAGGCTACCTTTGTGACACAGAAACTCTTGACTTTAAAGTTGACATAGCTGGCTAAACAATTAATCTCACTTTGCTGACTTAAATAAATAAACCTTATTATTCAGTCTATGAGATGACGAGAGCCCTGCCCTTTGTTTGTTTTAGCCTACAGTTTGACCCTGCACCACGCAGAGGAGAGCCCCACGTGACGCGGCGTACGCCAGACTATTTCCTGTAAAGATCACTGCTGAGAACGGTAATGGGCTGCACAGAGGCTTGGGGAAAAGAAGCATTCAATCCCTCTCCCCTGAAAATGTGTGCCATAATTACAATAAAATGGAAACTGTAACGTCTAGATGAACACCACCGTCCTTTTAACTCCTTCCTCTCTGTGCATGATGTTTTAATTGCTAGAAATGATTGCTACTATGAACAATACTGTCATAATACCTGCTGGATTGTCAGGAAACATGAATGAACTAACGCTGAGAATAACGACTAGATGTTGATAAGCAGAGTGTGTCGCCACATACAGTATATACGCTGCATCTTTCACTCGGCATGGCCTCAAACAAAAGGTTGCAGTGCATACAATGTGAACTCTTTTCTTTTTGTAACCGAAGCGAAAGTGCTTATTTTGTGAGATGATAGAAACGAGTATGTTCTCTTTGCACTTTTGTATTTGATTTTTATCACATGGCACTGACAAACTTTGTTCTTTTTATATCCCGTTATAGTGTAAGTAGTTCTCTTTCTGCTGTCTCATATCCCATACGGAAAAGATATATATAAATCTTATAAAGTTTGTATCTGTCTTGTGTGAAACTTGTATGAAAAGCATATAAGAGTGAAAACAGATATAAAATCCCTTGAAAAGTTATATAATGAAACTTGTATGTTTTGGATACTTACTAAAACAATGTATGAAAGTAATGAGAAATCATGAGTAAATCATGTAAGCCTTATGTGATTACTCATGAAAGTGGCCACTTTCATGAGTAATCACATATAAGTTTTTACTATTTCTTTTCCATATGGGATGGGAGTTAATGTATTTCATTTAACTAGGCAATACTGCTACAAATGACATCAGATGTAAAATAAATAAAAATAATAATATAACTTAATGTTTTGCACTCACAGCTATAAAAAAAATTAAAACTGGAGTTGCTGTGTCATTTATTTCCCCTTTTGTACAGCTTATGACATTATTCCCGAGGAGTGACCACTAGATGGAAACAGACACCCAAAATCGGTGCAGGTGATCAGCTCAGACACTGATAATGAGCTTTATTGTGAGTGGACTATTTGCAGTAAACTGGTCATTTTAACATCTGTTTTGCTTGTTTATTTAATTTCTAAAACAGGATTTTTGCACAGTTTTTTTTAACATGGAAAAGGGTAGGACATTGTTTGCAGCGTGATGTTTTACTTTTATTTTTTATTATGCATTTCTGATATTAACCAAATAACCTGTCGTTTGCTTTAATTTTCATGCACATGTCATGCACCACTATTAATACCCGCCTATTACACGTGCATGTGTGGAAATCCTCCGAAGTTTTAACAGATATTACTGATTTACTGCCTGTAAAATCAATGTAGCGATAGTTCACAGAGCACCGGCGGATGTAGTGCTGAAAATAAAAGCATGATTTAAAGGATTTGGCGGATTGCAGCTCAGTTTCTCCCCTCAGACTGCTGATCACAGCTCCTGCTGCTTTGCGAAACATTGGATCAACGCTGCGTGTTTTTTTTCCTGTCATTATAAGATGTTTTTCCCTAGTAAGAAGCGAGGCAGGGCTTTTATTTTGTCGGTGAAGCCCCTCGCGGTTCCTGTGCGACCTCCGGCCGAGCTGACACTGCTGCATTGAAAATTAGCTGGCCGCAGCCTTTCAGGGACTCCTCTTGCGGACCTCCGGAGACCACAGTGCAGTAAGTAACCTGTGCTCGTTTCCCAAAACGGACCGACAGTTTTGTGCCGTGTGCGCTTGTGTGTCCGACGTGTCAAGCAGTGATCAGACAGCTTTTTGCTCCTTGGGATCCCACTGCTCGTGTGTGGATGTGGCAGGCTGATACTAGTTGAATCTGGGGCGCACAGCTGGACAATTAACGGGCTGGACAGATGTAGTGGCTAATTTGCCATTTTTAAAACGGTCGCACCTTGATTTTCATTGTTTTGGGGGAAGATTTTGGCGCCTTTTTTTTTCTTCAGATCACAGAAACACCTCCAGTTACAGTCCAGATTTAACTGGTCTACGTCGGGTTGGACAACAAACCGTATCCATCCAGGGGGCATGTTATTACCCTGCGACCACGCACAGAGAGCGGCGTTTTGTATTATAGCACATACCAGGCTGATACAGGGGTTAAAATATGTGGGATACATAACAATTGATTGTAAGGAGTTGCAGGTTAATGTGTAGCCACGCAGGCCGCCGTTGATTGGCTGAGACTGAGGGCAGAACCAGCTGTGCGTTTATGGATCAAAGGCCGTGTCGGTACAAACTTCACTCCTTTCACAGCGCATTTATTACTGATTTGGCATCATATTATTCACCCTAACTCGGGGATTTGAGGCCAAGAAGTGCCCTTTAATCTCTTTCCAGCAGTAACTTTGTGTCTTATTGGGCCACTGAAGGCTTTTTGACATCTCGTGAGAACCCCCGTTGAGTTTAAATCAATTTAAAGCGACAGCATGCTTTCTGTACTGCACAGATTTCTTATTTAATGCCGATCCAGCAGCCATGCTTCAGTTCGAGTTCATTGCTGCTGCATGCCTTCTCACAGTTGTTCATCTGAGGCAAAGAACAAATCCAGATCAAGCTGGGTTGGAACAGCATGCTGCATGCACATCCACAAAAAAACCCCCATCCACTGGTGTTTTTCCATTGCAAGCCAGTTCTGTCTGCTTTCAGACTAATTAATATAATAAAGTTTTAGGTAAGTACCCAGTTACAGCAAATAAAGCCACAGACTTTACTCAGTTTGTAACTTTTTGGTTAAAAATGCCACTTTCCCAGCTGTCCTATACATGCAGGGTGCTTTTCAGACTGGGAGTTGGTGTGTGTGCCCAGTTGCAATTTGGTGTTTCACAGTCCTCCTGTTAGGTCAGCCCTCACTTAGTCACATTATGCTGAATTAGCAGCGTGGCAAAAGAAGCATTGTGCTCCGCCAGTCCTCCCTTGCTGACTTTTGTCTGCAAGAGAAATGAAGCCCGAAGGGGAGCTAACTCCTCTGCTAAGTGCTGGAGCAGGGCCCTGGTGAATTAATTTCCAGCTTTTCCGGTCCACATGTTGACACATCCTTGGAAAAGGTACTGAACGTCGAGTTACCCGAGATGCATTAATCAGAGTGTGTGTGAGAATGTTTGAAAGCACTTTGTCATAGTACGTCTGTGTGTGTGATTCTACTTGTGGTAGAAACCACTTTGAAGGTTCAAATATAACAGAGACACGGTAGCAGTTCATCCATCTATTTTATCAATGCCCAAGATTATTTCAAACTGTGACTCATGCACAGCCACTCTGCTGTAGTCCAGGAATATAAGTGTGGAAACAAAAACGACTATGATAAGTATTACCATGTGCAAAATCGGATACATTTATTGCGCCTGTAACATTTTATTTCCCCAGATAAAAATGGCAGCTGAGCTATCCACTTCCATAAACATCAAGGAGCCCCGCTGGGACCAGAGCACATTTGTGGGTCGGGCTAAACATTTCTTCACCGTCACAGATCCCAGGAACATTCTCCTGACAAATGAACAACTAGCACACGCGCACAAAATCATCACCGATTACAGGTAACCAGCCCGCCCAGTTTTTCAGAAACAGGCTGTAAACTCACTGCCGGTGTAAAACGAGAAATATGATTTTACACGCTCGCTGTCTTGCAGGGAAGGTATAGTCTCTCCAGGGCTGACGGAGGATGAACTGTGGAGAGCCAAGTATGTTTTTGACTCAGCTTTCCATCCCGACACTGGAGAGAAGATGATCCTGATAGGCCGCATGTCGGCACAGGTTCCAATGAACATGACGATCACTGGATGCATGATGACATTTTATAAGTAAGATCATGTGCGAGTTAATTGTCAGACTGTCACAGCCACACCCAGGCCTATTATAGCTTCTTTTTAAGCAGCAGAGCATGTCATCGAGGGAAATTCACACATGCTGGTTTAAATTTTGCTGCTAAAGTTTCACAGGGCTGGTGTAGTGCATGCAGCATTGCTGTTTTTGCTTATAGAAGGAGCCAGTGTTATTGGTGCTTGTTGGGATGATGGCATTCCCACACAGGAGAGTACAAATATCTGTTTACACCCAGTAATGCACATTTTTAATGATTTCAAACTGTATTTTCAATTTACAGGACAACTCCTGCTGTGCTGTTCTGGCAGTGGATCAATCAGTCTTTCAACGCAATAGTGAATTACACCAACAGGAGTGGTGACGCTCCCATAACCGTCGGGTAAGAGGCAGCTGCTTTGGCGCTGATGCCGGCACATATTAACCCCTTAATTTAACAGTGCTGGTGTGGACGGTGGTTTTTGTTTGTGTGACGTGACCGGTGCCTCTTTTGTTCGCAGTCAGCTTGGCACAGCTTATGTGTCTGCCACCACGGGGGCAGTTGCCACCGCTCTAGGACTAAATGCACTAACAAAGGTATCAGTTCATCTAACCCCATCCTACATCTCCTATTAATGCTTTGACTTCAGACATGTGGGTGTGCTGGTATGAAGTTAGCCACACATGAATTGTTTCTCACTGAAAGCCCATGTTGTTTAGAGCATCACGCTCAGTAATCATGTTGTCATGCGAGCTTTTATTTGGACTTTGCGGCAGAAAGGCCTTTCTGTAAAGCATCTGAAATATTGGTGTGAATTCTTCAAGCTATGTTTACATCTGAGCTTCCTCCTTTCCTCCCGCTGCAGCACGTTTCACCGCTGATCGGACGGTTTGTTCCATTTGCTGCTGTAGCTGCTGCTAACTGTATCAACATCCCGCTGATGCGACAAAGGTAAAGATCACTGGTCTGTCCATCTGTCCATCCACTCTTAATGCAATATTTATACTAAAGATTCGCTCAGTCTCAAAGATGATATAATTAGAGTCAGTGTCATACCTCCGGTACAGGAGGAGCGACACACTGGCTTGATGACATTATTTAAATCGTCCTGAGTTCTCCTAACTGCAGTACTTTTGTGCTATAATGAACTGACAACTTGAGAAGAGCAGAGAAGTTTCATGTGTGTTAATAGTGTCAAACTCCAAGTTGGTTACAAACCATGACCAGAACATCAAGTTACTGAACCCTGGGCTCAGCTTGTTTTGATGTTCTGATGATTTGTTTTCCTTTCTTCAATGTCATACAGGAATAGTTATAAATGGAGAACACTGCACCTTAGTGAAATGATAATGAATAATCAAGCAGTCAGAGCTGTTTCATGTTTTTATAAGGACAATGCTATTTTGATTGTCTCTCCCTCTATCTGTTGCTCTTTTTCACAGTTCTGCTCCTGGATGGGTATTAAAACAGTAATTAATGCCCAGAAAGCTTTTCTCTGGAAACGCACACATTTGGGATGTCTCTAATTGTAAAAGGCATCGTTAAAACATCTTTTTTTTCCTCTTTTTTGGAAAAAAATAATAATGCAGGGAAAGCAGAAATATTTCCTGGATGCTTGCAGCAGGTCGTTCACTGATAAGGGCCCGCATGGATTCTTTATTTGGATTCAATTAGAGTTTCAGATTATAAATCCACTGTGATTGTGAGGTGCTGCTACTTGGGTGTCACCCTGCTTTAACGTCTCAGCAACTTCAAACTTAAGAACCATTTATTTTCTTTCCTTCTGAATATGTTGAACAAGAAATGGGAATT